CTACAATTGAAGTAACTTGCATGTTAGTTCGTTATCTATATATAGTTATCCTCACACTCTATATATTCTTTTGTACTATATAAATATAGATATGAGATGCTAAAACTAAAGAGAAAAGGGTTAGCTGTTGTTGGTATTATGGATCTGAATCGCACATTCAAGGACACTGTTACTCCATATGATAGATGGCGACCTCAAGTGGAGAATAATCTGTTTAGGTTATTAGATAACCAACATAACAAGACACTGATACTCTTCCCTTACAACTTCAGGTGAGTGTTAATATCTTGTGCCCATTTTATTTTGCCTACTCCATGTTGACTTTAGTTAATGAGTTATGCCTGCGTATAAACTTGTAGCTATCACTAGATACCGTTGGTCGTCGATATGCCCAGAAGTACTGGAAAGATCTTTGACTCAGCAACAAAACCCGAAAATATTACCAAGAAATGATAGATATTCTCCGGTGATAATTTTGATCTCGCACAGTGTATACTCTTTTATGCCATTTTATTGATATAACTCTATTTATTTATTTTGTTGGACAGTGCTTGGAAAAGGTTATCCGAGAAACACCATTATGGTCAGTGGAAAGTGCCTCTGAATGTAGTCCAATACCTAGTAAATACTAGCTAGGTCACCGTCATATTTATTTAGTTCAATTCATTATTACCATGCTTCATTATTTGATGACGAATCTTTTTCTCGTAAAGTGGTGTTTGCAGCAGGATCGGGGAACAACTTATGTGAATACTACGTCTGCGAGTTCATGATGGAGTACTTAAGGAGAACAAGTGAAGAGATCCTCGAAGTACGTAAAAAATATACACAATTTATTTATTATCATTGTGTTGATATATATAATCATATATATATATATATATATATATATATATTCATACTTTTCTTTCATTCGAATTGAAGATTGAACGGAGGAAGTGAAAGGTTATGCGATGTGATCAGATCAAAGCAATTCAAGAGGTTATCCTAAAGACGCATACCACTATGACCCTAAAGAATTAATACCTAATAGCCATACGACTGAAGATAATTAGGGTTGAATGAAATCCCAAGGACATGACCAGTACAAGGTTTTTGTGACTTTATTATGTACATATTCCATGCATGTACAATCTCTTCAAATATTTATATATATATGTAGTTTCATACATTTTAGTGTGTTATTTATGTATAATGCTCGAACGGAACCGTATACGTGGACATATATTAGCAGTGTAGAATTCGTATACGAATATCTAATCGAAACCAAAAAGAATTGAATTGAAAAGAAACCATAAAATGAAAGGAATGAAATAGAAAAAAAAACCTTTAGTACCGGTTGAGAACACCGATCAGAACTACAGATGCCAGCCCTAGTGCAATACCTGAATGACCATTTAGTCCTAATTGATAATAATAATTGGAACTAAAGGTCAACTTTTAATCTCGATTATCAGAACGGGACTAGAGGGGGTCTTTATTCCCGGATTACCAACCGGCGGTTTTCAACTAGAACTAATGTCCAATCCTGCACTAGTGAGACAAGCACGCATAACTAATCGGACCGCGACGGCCGAGCACAGATTCTGATCCGATCCGATCCGTCTGGCTGGCCCCAAGAACGAACTGAGATTGCCACCGCTAAACGGAAAGGCCCCTGCACCGCACCGCACCTAAAAGTTCCGCCGATTCGTTTGGCCGTCGGCGTCCGGCGTCCCCGCTGGGTTCTCGTTCTCCGGCCCCGTCGTCCCCGACTCCCCGGCCGGCAGGCGCGCGGCCACGGGCGATGCGCAGTGTCCGGACGACGACGTGTGCGCGTGCATGGTCGCGCGCGCTGTGGGCCAAGTTAGTTAAAGTTGTGCCGAGGAAGCAACGCTACGGCCTTCATTTTTTTTTGGCCTTTTTGCATGGGTATGTTGTGTTCCTTCCTTTCTTGCTCGAGACGACGCCAGTTAGCTCGCTCGGAGAGGGATAGACCCGTAAAAGCAAAGCATAGAGTGGTTCCAATCCCATCAGAAAACGCACTGTAACCACGCTCGATCGACTCCTAAAGTACTACGAGCAGTACCGCTTGATTTGTTAGGACTCCTATAAAGTACTACGACTACGTAGCATTGGACCCCGCTTGATTTGTTAGGACTCGTTATTAAGCCACTGATTAAAAACTAAGCAACTCTAGCCTTGTAACATACTCTCGTATATAAGAGGTTTGCGTGGGTCGTGTTGTTTGGATCCTCCTATACTTTGTTCAAGCCACTTTTTATAGTCTAGACTAGACTAGATTGTGATTCCAATAACCAGATTATACACTCCACTTGTTTCAAATTATAAGCTGATTTGATTTTTCTAGGTACATAGCGTATCTAGGTGTATAATGCTAGTTTTAGTGGGAGTTTTATGGCTCTGTTTTCGAGACTTCCTGATGTTAGAAACAATGTAAACAAGTTTCATCCCATGAAACTTATTTCATCCCATAGAAATTATTTTCATCTCTCTCTTCATTTAAACTATACCATATCAGCTTATTTAATACCCATAAAACTTTAGTGAAACTCACATTGAGCTGACTTAACAAAAACTATGTATCTAAAAAAAGCAAAGACGATTTATAATGTCCAACAGAGGAAGTATTATAGAATCCCGTAATTTTGGCTCACGCTAGCTTTTAACGTACAATCTACAATCTGCAATAGCTTCCATATATAAATTGGGGTGGATCTATTGAGGTTCCCCCTAACAAAGTAATAACTTCTATAACAATGGCTAGCGAACATAGGGTTCTATTGTTTTTTTATTTAGGCCTTGTTTAGATCACCTTTAAATTCCAAGTTTTTTCACTTTCTCTCCATCACATCAATTTTTGGACGCATGTATGGAACATTAAATGTAGGTAAAAAAATAACTAAATACATAGTTTGGTTGTAAATCACGAGACGGATCTTTTGAGCCTAGTTAATCTATGATCGGACAAAGTTTGTCAAATACAAACGAAACGTGCTACAGTATTCAGGTTGTAAAAATTTGCAATCTAAACAAAGCCTTAGTATTGCTCCGAGGACAACCTGCCTGCAGGATTTGTTTGGATCTACGGTGCCAATAGTTACCGGGCCAACCTGTCTGAAATGGACCTGTTTGGAACTACAGTATCAATAGTTACTAGCTAAAATTAGTAGGTGTACTAATAGGCCTACTTACTATTAGAAATGAGGTACTAATGATTAGTTCATTAGTTAGTGAAGGGTACTAATAGTTCATATGTATCTCCAACCATCTTCTAATTGACGGATCCAAACAACCCCTGATAATAATTAGCTAGCTAATAGTTAATTTTTTTTTGCTATTAGCTAACTTCTCCCTCCATCCTAAATTATAAATTATTCCAACTTTTTTGGAGAGTCAAAACATCTTAAGTTTGATCAAATTTATATAATAAAATAATAATATTTATGATATTAAATAAGTATCATTAGATTCTTCATTAATTTAGTTTTCGTAAATACATATTTGGGGTTATAAATCTTTGTAATTATCTTTATAATATTGGTCAAACTTGAGATGCTTTGACTTTCTAAGAAAGTTCTTGTAATTTGGAATGGATCAAGTAACTATTAGGCTATTAGCACTGGTGGATCCAGATATGATGTGGGCTCGATCTCAAGCAAATTGGTCGTGCACACAAGAAGATAACAAACAATAGTCTACTACACTATATTCGCCGTGTACCTAAATTGATGTGAGAACCCAAGTTCAAGTGATTATTGCCGATTATTCATGAACGAGCCCTTATTCATGAAAAGCTTGACTCCGCGGCCACGGCTGCCACATTATTCCATCGTGCGCGTCGGCACGTGCAAGTGCAGCCCCGAGAACACACTACTATTCCATCGTGCACGCAAATTGCAACTTCCGGGCCGGGCGGCGGGCCCGAGCGCCAAGGCCTGGTTTAGATGACATCAAAGTTCTAAGTTTTTTTACTCTCTCTTCGTCACATCAATTTTTAGACGCATGCATGGAGCATTAAATGTAGATAAAAAAAGTAGCTAATTACATAGTTTGGTTGTAAATCACGAGACGAATCTTTTGAGCCTAGTTAGTCCATGATCGGACAAAGTTGTCAAATACAAACGAAACGTGCTACAGTGTCTAGATTGCAAAAATTCGTAATCTAAACATGGCCCAAGTCTCAAACGCTGCTCTGCGCCGTGCGCGGCAAGACACGAGGGCACGGTGCGGCGCACGGCTTCCGCGGGTCCGCTCTCCGCTGTTAATGGCTCGTAACAGCCTGCCACCGTGCAGACGCGCGGGCCCCACTGAATCCGCCGCTCGATCGCTCGGCGAAGCACGCGCATGCTGTGGCTGTGCTGTGTGCTGCATTGCATTGCTACCTGCGGCCTATGTATACGCGCCCCACGGCCGCCCGCTCCCCCAGTCCCCCGCATCGTCAACCCGCGCAACACATTGCCCTGCCGCGCAAACTCCATCTGCTAGTCTGCTTCCTCTCCCCCCTCCCCCCTCCCCTCTCTAGTCTCCAGCACCACCTCCAAGCCGGCGTCTCGAATCCAGTGGGCGCACGAGTACGGGAAGCTAGTCTAAGAGGTGAGTGAGCTGTTCGATCTAAGCTTCCTCCCTCCCTCCCTCATTCAGGGATGCCCGTTTGATCGATTCGGCCGTGCTGTTTGATCGACTCGCTGATCAGTTGGGTGCGGTTTCGTGTTGTTTAATTAATTATTAGTAATGTCTGGTAGAGTTCGACATGAAACTGAACACTTGCAGATCCAACTCATTGGCTACTCTCTGATTGTGACTGATTGATCGCTACCTTTTTGCCCAGTTTTTCCTTCTTCTGTAAGAGTTCAGTTCGTGTTCGGCTATGAGCATTATGCTTCGTGGATGATTTTACTCTGCAGTGTGCAGTCCCATTCGCTCCAGGGATTTATTTGCTCTGCTTTTCCTTCGAATATTCAGTGACGTTTGATTCGATTTGGTTGCAGGGGGGCGCCATGGAAGTTGTGCTCGCTCCGGCCCAGCACGACGGCCTGCACGCGGCGTTTGGGCCCAATCCCTTCGCCATCGGCGGAGACGGCCGGTTCTCCTCCAGCCTCTCCTCGCTCGGCGGCGATCGCTTCTGCGGCTACTCCACCACCACCGCTTCCTCCCGCTTCGGCAACAGCCCCGGGCTGTCCTCGCCGTCGCCGCGCGCCGCCTCGCTGTCCCGCGGCTCCTCCGACTCCGGCTCCGTCGTCGACGACGGGGACGACGCGGCGGCGGCGTCCGCCGCTACCGCCACCGCCGCGGAGCGCCGGCTCCGCCTCGCTCGCCTCGCGCTCCAGTACCAGGAGGTGGTCAACCGCTTCGAGCTCTGCCTCTCGTACCTCGCCGACGCCAGCAACGAGGCGGCCGCGCTCCGCCGGGAGAACGATGAGCTCCGCGTCGCCAACGAGGACCTCGCCCGCCGCATCAACGTGGTCGGCTGCAAGCTTGTGGACGAGTTCAGCGGTCTCCGCCTCGCCGAGGAGCACGCCACGCCACCACCACCTCCTCCTCCTCCGTCACCGCTGCCCGCCGCACCGGTGATGCCGAAGAGCATCTCCGTCCGCTCGCTCGGCTACCTCAAGATGAACCAGAACGGCAAGCATCGGGCGTCCAAGCCAACGAAGGTCTCGGTGAGATCAACGACCAACCCATTTCCCCAGATGTTGTGACCGAGTCCAGTTTTTCGATCGTTCAGTCCATGAGTCTTACCTGTTCGTCTGTTGTTCTCAATGCGGCAATGCAAGCAGCAACGCGTGTTCGTGGGCATGGACGGCGGCGTGAAGGGGGAGGAGGAGCGCAAGGGTGTGGAGGAGAAGAAGCTCAACGGCGGGCTGGAGTTCGAGGTGTACAACCAGGGCACGCTGAAGACGGAGCTGTGCAACAAGTGGGAGGAGACCGGCGCGTGCCCCTACGGTGACCAGTGCCAGTTCGCGCACGGCATCGGCGAGCTCCGCCCCGTGATCCGCCATCCGCGCTACAAGACCCAGGTCTGCCGCATGGTGCTCGCTGGCGTCGTCTGCCCCTACGGCCACCGCTGCCACTTCCGCCACTCAGCCACCCCTGCCGATCTCTTCTTCCCGCGCCCTTGATTATGTCAGTCCACTACCCACTGCCGCTCTCTCACCCGCTCCCACCCTCTCCAGCTCTACTTCATTATGCGGTAATGCCATTGTCACAGTCTTCAGAACCCCAAATGTCTGATTAGTTCTGAGGCAGAAAAGGAGAGCCGTAAATAAGGTATAGATAGATACACGAGATAGAAAACGAAATTGGTCTACATAATTAGAACACAGGCAAGATGTGAATATAGAGTTCTAGACACCGAGGTGTTCATATGGGGTTGATCTGGGCAATCAAACTCAAATATGTGAGTTATGTTGGGATTATTGTATTTTTCGTATCGTTTATTATACGCCGTGACGCGGTGTAGGTTATGATGTTCTGCCTAGTTGCATTTTACGGGAAAATTGGATGATAAAATTGGTGAACTCCTGTAAGTAAGCTAAGTAAGGCTGTTATCTGAATATCTCTCTGATGTGTTGAACACTTGGCAAGTGCAAGCGCCTTCAGTTGTATTGTTGTTGAACCACTGAAGCAATGAATTATTTTTTTTCGCGGAAAATGTGAAGCTTGCACAGATGGCATTCTGCCTCTAGTTTCTGGTGCTCATTCTTTTCTGCAGATGACCTTGCATTGCTGTTGCAAATTTCTCTGGATGGAACTTCTGCTATCAAGGCCCTTTGTACTTTAATGCCCGCGCCAACCTACCATTACAGGCTTGCTGGCATCCGTGGTGAATGTAACAGGTGGGGGGCTGTTCGTCCCCCCAAGGTTACCTTACCTCTAAAAAGAAAACTTCTGCTGCCCTAATTTACATATCTATTGCTGCAATAGAAGGTTATTTGCCAGACTTTCGACCCCAAAAGCTCTTGCGCCTGTGACTTTTAAGCAGATGGCACTGATGGATTGGACAAGTGGGGTTACTGTATATTCTTTGTACCTGCATCCTAAGATCTGCCTTGCTGTCTCTGTAGCACTGGCGGAGCTACGTGGGGGCCATAGTTGGCCATGGCCCCCACTTGCCTCCATGATTTGCTGAAACCCCTATCCCTGAGCTGCGAGTTAGCAGTAAATCTGCATGCGCTCTAAGTCTGCATGCATTGTAAGCGAGCGGCCAGGGTCATCCATGCATGTCTCTACATAGACATAGCAATCGTATAGCATTCTCTCCATCTAAAAAATAAAAAAAGCAATTGTGTAGCAGTGGTCCCACCGCTTGGCTCAGCCGTTAGCCCGTTACTCCATTAGTCTGTTTTCTTTGCTTCTGTTGCTATCCACCGTGTTGAGTCTTGTTGATTTTTCTATCTTTTTTCCTTTCTGACTTTTGAATCGATAAATTCTACATAGTATGTGTATTAGAACTGCTGACTAACATATTTTGTAGTTAATCGGGATCTTATGTTGCTTTTTTAGAGAATTTTTTATGCTCTGCTATTGTGTTGTCAAATGTATTTTGTATACTGTGACTTAATTATAAGTACTCCCATTATTTTTTTTTCACTACTTATGTACATAATAGATTCAATTGACAAATGCCCCCCCCCCTTTAATGTTACCCACGGCGTCAGTCATGCTCAGTAATGTTATCTGAATGTATTTCTAATGATGTGTCGAACATTTGTGCATTTGGCAAGTGCAAGCGTCTTCTGTTGTATTAACTGTTTATGGACAATTGAAGCAACAAATTACGTATATTTTTGTCGAACATCAGACATGTCAAACACATATATGCATATGGCTTCTGTTGTTCTAAGTTTTCTGGAGATCTTTTACGCCAAAAACCTCTAAGTAGCGACTACGCCATTCTTTTGCATCCTGCGTCCTAAGTTCTGCAGCGCTTTATATGCGCTGAATCAATGAGCTCCTGATCAAGGTGGTATATACTACAGAAATGGAGCGTGAGACTGCATCAATTTATTCATTGCTTTCATGCCTATCAGATTGCCCATGTTTCAGACTACAGGAAGTGCAGCCGGTGTCTAGTCTGTTCTGATCGTTCCAGTGCACAGGGGATGTTCCAGATTGGCTCATTCAGAAGAGGACACCAGATGGACAGAGGATTCCCACACAGCTGACTCCAGGTGTGTTTTATTGCCTATACTATCCACAGAAGGCCAGCTCCTTCTCCTCAAGTTTCAAATTTAGTGAAACAACCTCATTCCTTCTACTAGTACTTTTTTGCTTGTGAGGAATGGTATGATAGATTAATCCATTCTATTTCACAAACCAAACAAAAAAACTAAAGAGAAACTATAAACCAAACAAAAAACTGAAGAGAAACGATGAACTGTTCTGGGGTTATATATACATCCAATTGATCAATGAAAAACAGTTCCAATCATTTGATCAATTTACACTTAACACTAGGAACAGCATTTTACTTAATTTAATTTCATGGAACAGTACGCACCAAGAAGAACGATACTACAGGTAATTCTGACAGATTAAATGTAGTGCAAGTAGTTAGACACGCAAGTGCTGCTAAATTAACTGCCCAAAGTCATTGCTCCTCAGTCAGTCTTCTTGTACTTATTCATGAGAACCTGCATGAGTATTAGCTTACAAGTTTAGCAAAATTGACATGTCTGATATAAGTACTTGATACAGTTCAATTCCTTTTTCTCAAAAAAAGTACTAAAAAACAAGAATCCAAAGTTGTGTCATCAATCAAATTTTCAAACTTCAAATTGCACCCTGAGCACAGGTTTCAACCCAAAACAAAAGTCAGTCAAGAATATAAGTAGCAGCTACCAACATAATCTGTCACCTTAGCCACGGTGCCACTGTCCCAGAAGCCACTTGTTGTAAAACAAGCTACGAAATATGCATGTAAACCCTTATAAAGAAAGGCATGTCAACTAAAGGTAGGCCGATGTGATATATGCCAAAGATGATGTGGTTTGAAGTATTGACATTTGACATCCAATGCGAGGTCAAGAGTAAAATAATCAGCTTTCAAGTTCCAGATTGATTTTCCCATAGCTAAAGGCACAAAACAAAAATTTCTCTTTAATAATATTGCATTATCCAAGATGTCAATGCAACTGAGCTAATAAATCTAAATCAATGAGAAAAGAAGGATAAGCATGATAACTGTAGTCAGTCTTACATTGACTTTCGAGGCTAAAGATAGGATCGTGCACAAGAACTATAAAGAATAAATTTACCTTAACAGCTTCAAGAAGGTCTTTAGCTTCATTATTGCTGTTGAAGTGATCACGAACAGGCTGCAAAAGAGATTGTCGAGGTCATGGCTTTTTGAAGAAAGAATTGCACTTTAAAAATGAGCTTACATTGGAAAAAAAAAACCTTGAAAAACATAGCCCATTTTAGCATCAATCTATTAGGATAGGAGTGATTAACCTCCTGAAACCTTACATATAACAAGACTAATAAGTTGATTTTAATATGCTTACCTGCAATATCTTATTTAATGCTTTTGTGAGAGCAGGCTTCAAGTCAGCAGGATGCAAAGCACCAGAACTATAATCAGCGATAACTTCATCCATGCCTCTGTATATCCTGTTCACACGAATAACTATTACAGCTGAACAAGATTGAAAAACATTGACATGTTATTTTTCCTAAAAAATTACATTACAGAGGAGGAATTCAATCTTAGTTGAATATTACTTGTTACCACCATTTGCTTCCTTTCGAGCCACATCAAAACTTCCAAACCAAGGGAGAACAATGTATTTAATGTACTCCAAACATGGATTTCCTTCAACAACATTGATAGGGCAAAATGCCTTCTTTATCTTGCAATTTATCTGAGACTGCAGTAAACAAATTGTATAAACCATTATAATCATCATTTTGTTGAAACAAAGGGACAAATCATTAGCTGTTAGGTGACTTTATAGAAAAAAAACTTGGCACAAATGTGAAAGCATATCATAAATTACTGCAGAAGGGATAAATCATCTAGTAAACTGAAAGCATATCATAAATTACTGCAGAAGGGATAAATCATCTAGTAAACTGAAAGCAAATCATAAATTACTGCAGAAGGGATAAATCATCTAGTAAACTGTAATTTTACTCAGTCAGCTACACAGATGAAATTATACTATACCTCCTAAAAAATGATAGTGACATCACATATTATAATAAAGAGCACACTGCAAGTAATTTATGCTTTACTGCAGGTGTAGAGCCAGGCTGGTAACAAAAGATCAGGCATACACCAAGAGAGAAAAACAAAAGACTAAACGGTGTGTGATAATCTCTTACAAGTTTCTTAACTTGAAACTGGAGCTAGTTACAACTATGTTTAGTCAGCATTATTGATAGCATGATATTTTTATCACTGGATTCAAAGCAATCAGGCAAATAACGTATCAATGGGAAATACCTCATCATCTTCCATAAAAATAGCCGAGGATGGATCACTCTTCGACATTTTCGCTTGGCCTTCCTTTAAACCAGGAAGCATGTCTAAAATTGAGGTTAATGGATAAAACTGCTAGTTCAAAGATAAAGAACATATTGAAATTAAATTAAATATACATAAATACATGTGTATATATATCCACGCAAAAAGATGTGACAAAATAATTGGTTTGGACTTCCCACTCAGGTCACCATATTCCCTAGCTAACATATTCACTTTCCTTTGATCCGTGCCCAACTGGCATATGTCTACCTGCAGAAGTGAAGGTATAAATGAAATCATAAACAGCCATCACAGATCATGTATTAGTCGGCCATATAATATGTGCGACTAAACTAAGAAAACATCAAAAGCTTAAATTTATAGATACAAAAATGAGTCAATAAGCTTCCTTTTTTGCTTAGCGTGCTTGGTGAGAACTCACAGTACAAAAACTAGGTTCTGGATTAACTAACCTTCAGAAAGAACACATCCGCACACTGCATGAGTGGATACAAGAACTGTGCAGCACTCAAGTCATCCTTCTCACTCCGACCCATGATCTGACAACATCTACACAGTAAAGAAAATGGTTACTTGCACATCATCAAAAACTGACAAACTGATAATGAATTGGCTAAGAGGTATACAAAACCCTACCTCATGATTCTACTGACAGACCTTTTCTGGGCTATGTCCATCACAAGCGGCCAATATTCATTTGGCCGATTGAATATTTCTTCAGAGGACCATAGGAACTCCACCTCGTCCGTCTTCACACCAAGCGATTTCCATACTTCAATCATGTAAAGGCCAACCGTACGGATTGCATCTAAATCCCCTCCCATCTTTTTATTGAGCATAGCAAACCAGTCTGCTATCAAGATTTTCACTTTGCAACCACAACTGATCATCGTATTAATATTGATCGCCTTCACGACGCCCAAAAAAAAGAAGTTTGTTTTTTTTCGTTCAGTCATAATCAGATATTAACTGTCGAACTGAAGAATTTGTAACAGGCTGACAAGGCCCTGAATGAGGGAGAACAAAGATTTGTACCTGCGCAATGTGCATATATACGGCCAGACGGCTCGAAGCCGTCGTAGCAGACTGGGTTGGGTTTAGTTCGCAGCAGATTCAACAGCTCTTCAAACTCGATGCACTCCTCCGCGATGCTCCGTAGAGTAGCATAGCGCTCCTGGAGCATGGTGTCAGGCTGATCCACCGCGACAGAGACGGAGGACGACGAGACGGGCTCCACCCGCTGAGGTAGATCCACGGCGTCACCGCCAGGGGACGTCATAGGGGGATCAGCCAGCTGCATCGCCGCCATGCTGCCGGACAAACCCACCGCGTCAGGCACACCCGTCGGTGAATCCATAGTTGCGTCCCAATTGCGATGCAAGCGGCTGCTGTTATCCGGGCTGCTTTTATATAGGGGGAGCACAAGGCTTCCTTAGCGCCCACTCCAACGCCCGAACTGTTCTGTATGGGCCGTACGGGGAACGAGGTCGTCTGCAGTTGGCCAGGTCGACTTGTCTCTGCAGTCGCTGGATATCTAGCCGTTCACTGGTATCCAACGGTGACCAGGATTCCTGGAGCATGTGCGCTGCCTCCACGGCTCCACGCTGCTCGCTGGGCTCCGGCCCAATATCAGCACGGCGCAAGTAGGTCAGCTACGCGAGCTCCACGAGGGCGGACGAGGCGACGGTAGGGCTATGGCGCAAGCTCCATGGTCGACGAAGCGAGCTCGAGCAGCAGGGCCCATGGCCGGCGCAGGCGAAACATCTGGCTGCAGCGCGAGCTCCGTGGTCGGGGGCAGGAGCTCGAGCTGTCAATCAGTATGGTCATGGTCGGCGCAGGCGCAACATGGCCGCGGCGCGGGAGCGATAGAGGAAACAATCGGGGCTTTTGGCGCGAGCTTGTAGCCGGCGAGCTGCGCACGCTCCACCAGTCCACCCTGGGTGCTGCGAGCTCCATGGCCAGTGGGTCTCGGTGGGTGAGCATGAGGATGGCAGCCCGATCCGCCGATCCGGTGTTGCACCTAACGAGGACGGGAGCACCGCGGCATTCAGGTGATGCGCCCGGCGATGACGGAGGAATCGTGTGGCCTAGCCTAGGGAACGAGAAACGGTGGCGGAGGTGGGAGGCCGGAGTCGCGAGGGGTAGAGCTAGAACCGTGTGGAATTGGCTCACATGGGCCGGTTGGAGGCCTGTTAGAGCTTCTTTTGAGCTGACGCTTGGATCAGATATGAACGGCAGAGACAAGTCCATCCGGGCAACTGCAGAGGATCTTGTTCCCCCTACGAGCCTACGGGATTCGATAACGCTGGCACGCGGGCGTACGTCCAGGCATGTTCTGTCCGGACGGTCCGTTTTTGGGCCTGCCCAACATCAGGCCCAACAGACCTCCACCGCTCCACCTTCAGACTTTACGGTTTCTCCAAACAATAAAAAACGCAGCGACATTTTCTTTTCCCACTGCCGCACGCATGCGACCGCCACGGACGCATCTACCGCGCTGCCGCCTGCCGCCTGCCGCTGGCCTTCTCCAACACGGCGGCCTTCTCCAGTTGCGGCCTTCTCATCCGGACGCCGCACGCCCACTCCTCCTCACGCGCGCCCATCCCGTGCCACTCGCTGCCACCTGTCACCCTCGCCCATCCCGTGCCGCTCGCTCCCAACAGTCGCGTGCGCCACCCATCCGCCCAAGCCAAGCCCGATGATATTAGCGATGTTGTTGGTGGTGGTGCTCGCGCAGCGCCGGCTCTGACCCTAACGGCTAGAATCGCCCGTCCCCGGGCTCCCCCATGTTACAAGTGCATGTTTCAAGTGTTTTAGATGTTTCGTATGTATGTTTCAAGTGTTTCATGCGGATGTTGCAAAAATAGATTAGGATGTTGCATATGTTGCAATGATTGTACACGTATGTTGCAAGTGTCTGTTTCCAATGTTTCATTTGTTTTTTCAGACGTATGTGGCAAGTGTGTTTATCTGGATGTTGCATATGTTTACAATTGTTTTTCAAGTGTTTTTCATGTGTTTTTTCATGTGTTTTAGGTGCATGTTTTGAATGTTTCAGCTGTTTTATACGTATGTTGTAATTGTTTCATTTGGATGTTTCAAAAGTAGATCGGGGTGTTGTGCATGTTGCAACGTGAGCCACTTACCGCAGCTGCCTATTGCAGCCGCTGGGGCGCCGTGCATGGAGAGGAGAGGCGCAGTAGGCGTGGAGGGACACGGGCGGGCCCCACCTGTGCGTGCAACAGGCGCTGGCGCGGGTGTTGTAGCGGGCGCAGACATCTGGACACAGGGTCCGTCCGGACGCTAGTGCTGCCGTACTCATTAACATTTGATAGCTTTCTGAGTCGTTAACATTCTCGTACTCGTTAACATTTGATAACTTCCTGACAAACTGATAACGATTTAGCTTATTTTAAACTGACAAACTGATGATGGATTAGCTCATTTTATTTTATAAAATAAAACAAGTTTGGCCCATAATCCTTAGCTTGCAGAGTAAACTCACCACTTTGCTCTGAAGTGTTCGTAACAGGTAAACATTCCACTCGTCTCATCTATAGCGAGAAAAAAAAAACTTTATTCATTTCTTTCATGGATACCAGAATGCTATGTTATTCTTGTTCATGTCCAGACTACAAGAAATGCAGCCGAGGTTATTCTTGTTCATGTTATTCTGCTGCTTATTACACTCCACAGAAGGCCTTGAGTTTATCTTGGTGGCGAGCGCCTTCTTCGGAAACACAAAAGCAGACGAAGTCGTTGTTGTCATGCGGCTTGAAACGGGGAGGGTGTTCGTCGTCCACAAGCTCATCTGCCACCTGAACCTTGAAGTTGGGGACAGAGAACAGCATCGCGGAGTATCTGGCGACATCACCGGCGACAGTAATCCGGTGGAATGGAGCGTATAGACGGTCGTTTGTCCATGCCTGGAGTAAGATGAAGAGCACAGCGCAGAAAGGTCAGAATTCAGAAGACAGGATCAGTGTAGAAATGGATGGCTTTAATCTTAGGATCGAGAAGCTAAATGCTATCTGCTGTTCAACAGTTCAAACTGAATTTGAAAAAAATGTCCCCGTTAGCAGCGAAAGTGCGCCCCCCCCACACACACACACACACCACACACACACACAACTGTATTTGAAAAAGAAGCCCCCCCCCACACCCCCACACACACACAACTGTATTTGAAAAAGAAGCTTATTTTTGTTATCTGTCAGGACTAGTCCTTCATCTTATCACTGTTGACATCTGCGTGCTATTGCGCTGACAATGTTTTCTGAATGCCTCCTCAAACTGAATGTTCGGCTAGGTATTGTATTTGCTCAAACATTCAATTTGTATAACCGAAGATTCAATTTGCATAACCTTCTCTTATAATCCGTACTTTTTAGCTTGTTTTTCCAGCCGGAACAATGTTTTTCTCTCGCAATAAATCCGTCGGAACCATATTTTGGCTTGTTTTTTCAGCGAAGCGAATGGGGCCTAATTCTTGCTTGACTGACCACAAGATTAGGACCCTGTTCGTCTGGCTGAAAAAACGACTGATGCTGATGCTGATTTACTGTAAGAGAAAAATATTGTTATTTCGCTAAAACGTTACGCTAATAAATTGAAGCGGACAGGGCCTAGGAGCGCTAGCAATGTAACCACAACAAGAGTTCGTACCCGGAGCGCGTTGCCGACCATGAAAACCAGCGACGTGGGCGACGGCTCGACGACGATCCACTCGCCGTCCCTGCTCTGCATCTCCAGCCCGGCCACCTCGTGCTGCAGACGACGCTGAGCCAGTCGGTGTCCTGATGCGACCCGTACCTGACCACCTTCTCCGCGGCGTTGGGCGCCTTGTACTCCGCCATCCGGAACAAGTGCCACATGGACGCGCTCAGCGAGTCGTGGTGCTTGGCCACCCCGAGCCCTTCCATCACCATCCGCCGCACGGCCTCCTCCAGCTCAAAGATCCGCCGCGCCGCCTCACCGACAGTACCGCTGCGCCGCCGCAGCAGAGAACAGGGTCAGACCAAGCCTATAGAGTAAGATCTGCGAGAAGGACCGGACGAGGTTTTATGCTTACCAGAAGCCGTCGTTGTTGTCGCCGGCGTCGGGCCACAAGAGGCGGGCGAAGTCGCGGACGGACTCGTCCTTGGTGCCGTCCACGATGGCGACGCTCTCGTAGCCAGGGAACCCCGGGACGTCGCCGAGGTAGCCGTCGAACGGCCTGTCGGCGCCGTAGTAGTTGCGGCGCTTGGCATCTGCGGGCAGCGCGAAGAGCGGCCTCACGGCGCCGTCGAAGAGCTCGGCGTGGAGCTGAGGGGTCAGAGCCGGGTACTGCGCTTCGAAGCAGCCGAAAGTGGCCAGCGCGTCCATCACCTTGCCGCGCGCCTCCTCCCAGGCCTCGCCGCCCGGCGTGGACGGGACCACGCGGGAGAAGTCGATTTGGGGGAGCTTCTTCGCCTCGCTGCCCATCCTCGCCGTCATGGGATCTCGCCGAGCTGGAGAGTCTTGAGACTGAGCTCCGTGCTCTGCTTTGCTTTGCTTCCTGGCCGGTGCGGTGGTTGGTCAGCGACCGACCCGCGACGCCGTTGACTTCGAATCGACAGGAAGACAAGTGGGCTTCATATTTTAGGCCCAAATTTTCCGGAGTCGACGGGGGAGAAGCCCACTGCGTTCTCTGTTTCAGAGCTCGTCACAGGCCGAAACGTTGGCCCAAGTAGAAACAGGACAAACTGTCAATCTATCTAATGGCCACGTTTGCTAAAAAAAATGGCCACGTCTAGGTTTGTTCTCTATTTGTCGTAGGGTTTGGTTTCTGTTATCGAGCTTGTTCGGCTGGCTTATTCGGCTGGCTGGGGCTGGCCAGGCCACTCAGCGGAGCACTGTTCACGTCCTGTCAGAACAGTATTTTTCTCTCACAACAATCAGCCGGAACAGTATTTTTCAGTCCTGCCGAACATGCCCATCATCGACGAGGTGGTGGCCACGATGGCGTATTGAAATGAGGTCTCTTCGGCCCCTCCCTACCTCGACGACGTTCGATCTGACGTTAGCGAAGGGCCAGTAAGAGCATGTTTTGTCAGATCTATTGGTTCTCTTCAGATTTTGACGATTGGTGTGTTTATCTTGGAAAGTAGTTGGCTGACTTTCGACACGATGATTTCGACATCTTCTTTCGGTATATTCGAAGGCAAGGCCCGATATTTTCAACACTCTGTTCTGATGGTGAAGAATTGTAACTTGTAAGCCTAGGTTCCTCCGGTCGATATTCTTTCAGTGTACTACCTCGTCCATAAAAAAATACAATTATGGGAACCA